AGACAGAAGAAGCAGCTGCAGCTGGTGCCATTAGGAGGCAGATCGCGAACGGAAGGCCTTTACCTCTGAGTGCCGAACGAACACGATGCTCGCGATCGGGGCTTTGTCAGCCGAAGTTTCAGACATTCACATCTCTCCTCCTCGACCACCTATTCTCCTCCCAACTTCCTCCTCCTACATCACCAATTCGTCTTCCTCTTCCTCTTCCTCTTCCTCTTCCTCTTTCTATTCCTGCTGCTGCTGCTGCTGCTGCTTCTCCTCCTCTTCCTCCTCCTACTTCTCCCAGTCCTCCTTATCCCCTGTCTCCATCTCCCAGTTGTCCTCATCACCACATCACATAATCAATATTCCCTAACTGCTTCAACTGCTCTTTCTGCCTCTGCTGCTGCTGTGACTCCTCTTCACCACCGTGCAACCCCCCCCCGGCTTTCTGCTGCTGCTCGCGCTGCTGCTCTCCCTCTCTCCTCCTCCTCCGCTCACCGTCGTTGTCCTCTGTGTTGACTTCAGCATCTCCATGATGTTCTCGGGAGTCCCCCCCTGATCCCCAGGTCAGACGGTGAGCAGCAAACAACAAAAATCAACTCACATTGCTCAGCGCCTCCCTCTACGACCTCGCCTCGTCTTCCCACTCCTCTTCAATCGTCTCATCCATCGCATTCTTCCAAGCCACCTTCGGCTCATCCAGCTCCTCGTTCTCTGTTCCCTCCCGCTCCTCCTCTTTTTCCTACAGTCCCCACCGTCTGTCAACTAAACTTCCACATGCTTCCACCCTCACCGCAACTGCAGGCAATTCCAGCAAGGAGGGCTTCATCAGTGCCACGTGCAGCTGGAGCGCTTTCTCCACGTCCTCTTTGCTCTCCTGCTGAGCAGCTACCGGCACTTCTTCTATATTCCTGCTTTCCTTCCTCCTGTTTCTCTTCCTCTTCCTCTCCATCCTTTTCCTCCTCATACTCTTTAATCCATCAATACGGCTATTCGATCCCCCGGCCTCCCCACTCCGACTTTTCCTGCCTGTCTGCTCGCTGCTTGAGGAAGATGATGTTCTTCGTGATCTGCACGAGGATGAGGGGAGAGGGAAAGAATCGCACGAGATACCTCGCATTCGATGTTCCTGCTTTTCACGTCCTCCTCGATGGGCAGAACTACAATACATCGTTCCGACGAGTCTACGAACTGTACTTCGTTCGTGCTAATATCTTTCTCTTCCATTCCACCCTCAGCAGCTTTGAGAGCAAAGGATCCTCCCTTTCGGCCCTCCCTCATCCCTCTTCTGATCCCGTGAAGGCTCCTGGCGTCCTGCCCGGCGTCAGTGTTGTTCCCACCTGTTCCCAGCCTTGTCCCCCGCCTCCTCCGTTTCGGACAAGATCCTTTATTGACTGAGATACTTTGTTGGAGTAGCGGTTTTCGCTGTCCTCGGTTTCCTAGTATTTTGTTGGTGTAGCATTTTTCGCTGCCTTCTCCGTTTCCGGATGTCTGGTTGAGGCGGGTTTGTAGGGTTTATCCTCGTCCTGTGAGACCTTTGAGTAAAACTATTTGGCGCGCAAAAAACCATGTCGTCGTCGCAGCAGCTGCAGGCGGCGAGGAGGGAGGAGAGCGATTCCGTGGAAGAGCAGCGAGAAACAAAAAGACTCCAGGTGAGTACCGAGCTCAGCAACGACGCCCATTCAACGACTGCAGCGGAGGTAGAGCGGGCGCGGGCGGAGCTGAATGAGGCTCGCGCAAGCAATGACCAAGAGCAGATAAACGCAGCAAAGCAAGAGCTTGCGCGGGCGCAGCTGAAGGCAGAGGTAGGGCATGCGCGGGCGAATGTAGACGCGGCGCTCGCAAGCAAGGACAGAGCGCAGATAGCCGGAGCAAAGGAAGAGCTGGCGCGGGCGGAGCTCAAGGCGGCGCGCGCAAGCAAGGACCACGAGCAGATAACCGCAGCAGAGGCAGAGCTTGCGCAGGCGCAGCTGAAGGCAGAGGTAGAGCTTGCGCGGGCGGAGCTCAAGGCAGAGGTAGAGCTTGCTCGGGCGGAGCTCAAGGCGGCTCGCGCAAGCAAGGACCACGAGCAGATAACCGCAGCAAAGGAAGAGCTTGCTCGGGCGGAGTTCAAGGCAGAGGTAGGGCTTGCGCGGGCGGAGCTCAAGGCAGATGTAGAGCTGGCTCGGGCGGAGCTCAAGGCGGCTCGCGCAAGCAAGGACCACGAGCAGATAACCGCAGCAGAGGCAGAGCTTGCGCGGGCGGAGCTCAAGGCAGAGGTAGAGCTGGCGCGGGCGGAGCTGAAGGCGGCTCGCGCAAGCAAGGACCACGAGCAGATAAACGCAGCAGAGGTACAGCTTGCGCAGGCGCAGCTGAAGGCGGCGCTCGCAAGCAAGGACGAAGCGGAGATAACAATGGCGACGGAAAATGTATCAAGGGCGGAGCTGAAGGCAGAGGTAGGTCTCTTGAGGGCGCAGCTGAATGCAGTGCTCGCAAGCAATCACGAAGAAACGATAACTCAATCAAAGCTAGCCTTGCGCATCGCTGAGTCATCGCTTGCAAGCATCCGTGCATCTACACCTCTGCGGGTGGATGTTCTAGGTAATCTCTCTTTGCTGAGCAAATGTGCGTCCATGGCGAGCATTGTGTGAAAGTGTATCTTCAACAACGTGTGAGAAGCAGCTCACTGAACTATTTCTTGCAGTCATGCATGCAGTCTCTGAGAAATATCCCTTTGAGTTGGAGAAAATACTTGAAGGCCTGCGGATGTGCATAGAAAAATCGCTGGGATCAAAAGCTAGGTCGTTGAGCGAATCAAACCCAATCGACAAAGTAGTAACCGATAGTGCGGATCGAGCAGCTTGTACAGTCTCATGCATGATTGAGGCCTGCTCGGGAAGCGGAAAATCGTTGTGTGCGGCAGACTACTTCGTACGAAACCCAAAGACCTCACGATATTGCTTGTTTGGATACACCCAGGAACAGGAATTATATCTTCAGGTGGACAGTATCTCGCAGCTCATCAATGTAGCAATCGATCTAGACCTCCAAGCGTGTGATCAGAAGCTTGCATTTGATAAACCAGATGAGTGCAAGGTGAATGTTTTGGATATTGATCTTCTGGAATCCAGCTGGAATATTCTTGGTGCACTCGGATACCTGTTTGGGAAGACTGAAACTGTAGCCAAGGTGACGTTGCAGCATGCAAAGAAGTGGACAAAGGACAAGGACTTGTGGCTGCTCGTCGATGAAGCGATACCGGGGTATCAGGATACCACCGACCTTGTAAACCCAATCGCTCGACTGGTCTTCTTCAAACGTATTCTTCGTGATGCAGGCTTTAATACTATCATGCTGGGGACAAACACTCTGGTGATGAATTTCAACAAAGCTTTGCGACAGACCGACAACAGCCGAGGTCGGAACCCAGAGCATTTAGTGTGTATCACCCATCGAGCGCTTCCTCCGATGATTTTACAGTCTGAAAAGCAGCATGCTTTGCTCAGGAGTTTGTTTGGGGAGGAGCAGTGCAGCTTGTTTCTCGACAACGTTAACCCATGGCTTTGCAATCAGATGTTGAAGGGCTTCAAGGGCGCCACGGAAGAGATAAAAGACCGCGCAGATTTGTTTCGAGATCTGGCTGGTCCAGTGTTGGCAGAAAGACGTAAAGAAAAGAAGAATCTCAGCGATGCATCGTTGTATTGTATGTTTCAGATTGCAACGCACGATGCCATTTCCCAGGCACACATCATGCAAGGGTTCGGTCTCTTGAACATCTGGCCACAAGGCGAAGTCCCTGCACGTGGTAGTCCGGGGTCAATCATTGATCTTGATCGGCGTGATGACAAGATTTACATGATGAATACAGATATCCACAACATATCCTGCAGGTTTCCTCCGGCCTGGGCCGATCCCATCACTACAGGGATTTGCGCTGGTGGCGGAAGACCTTTTCGCAATTTAGCATCAGGGCTCGAGGTGTTGAGGAGGATTCACCAAGATACTGTCAAGCCCAGGGAGGATCCCACAGCAGTTGATGCAATGCGTAGAGACGGGAATGTTCTCGAATCGTTTGGGGCAGTCGTCCTTATGTTGACAAGCTGGGCCAAACCAGAGGACATTCTATCGACTCTCAGCTATCATTGTGGACGAGAAGTGAAGAGCACAGTGACGCAGGTGCTTGCTGCCGTGGATGACAAGGAGGCTGCAGAGCAGTTCCGGCAAGTTTTGACGAGATGTTTGTGTAATCTGATTCCCCTTCGTGACGATGAAAGTAACATGCTTGACGGAGAAGTTTTCGGCTACTACATTCGTTGCATGGATAAGCGCGAACGAGACGGATGCTTTTCTGGCCCTGTCTTCGGTCCTGATAGGAGAAGAATGAAGGGTGCAGCAGAGTTCAAGAACTGGAGAGTGTCGGTCAATTCATCTGATCTCAAGTGTTTTGTGGAAAAGCTGTCCAAGAATGGAGAGGACCTCCTTCTCTTCATGGCGCCAGCCTTTGGAGATTTTAAGTACGAGTGGATCTTACCACGATTAGGGGTTTCTGATTGGTTGGTTCTGCATTGGACAATTGATGGGGCGCATCTAGATTGGCGTACTTTCCACCATGTAGTCCAAGACGGTGAGAAAAGATACAGAATTTTGGTGCTTATGGAGGTCGGGTTATCAACGAAACCTTTTTGTGAACCGTCGATGCGCCAAGATCAGATTGATGCCTAGCATGGGTTACGTGGGCTGGAGAATCATGTATAACATGGATGCAGACATCAAACACCAGAGCAGGGATGCCGCAGCCTCAGTCACGGTGAAGTTGAGCCAGTGTCAAAAATACTCATCGAGCTGGATAAAGCCTGTCGCGGATACTAAAGGAGACCGTATGACAGGCGCGTGGCTTTCAGTTTCAATCTTGGACAGCTAGCTCCTCAAGTTGCCTACACCTAGTTCATGACGTGCTGGATATATTCATGCAGGCAAGGTGTGACGACCTTGAAACCCCATGTCGATTTTTGAACGAATGAAGATAGCAGACATCGTTGGGAGCACCCATTGACATTCATGATTCCATCTAGGCAGTCTTTGCAGCAGGACAGTCATACTGCTTGACTCAGAAGTCGGACATAGTGTTGCTGATCACAACATGCCGATGGCTGACCTCACTCTGTTTCGATTGACCTGTTCAGCACGTATATTGACAACTTACGTAGAGGAACTGATGATTCCGATCATCAGTAGGCGTCATCTCAAGTTTCATATTCTGGATAGCAAACTGCTTGAGATTACGAGAGTAAAGCCTGATCTTTCTTTTCAACAGATAAGGAGAGCAGAGAACGAGTCAACGCGATCTTGAAAATCGTATTTCCATATGTGCCAACACTGCGAACGCATGCCGTGGTTGGAGTTGGGATGGCATCAGTGATATACCACGAACGATTTATTCGAGAGATGATGCCAAGGAATCAACCCTTGTTTCGAACTACTCTTTTGTTGCAACCTGGTTTTGTACAGCCCCTTGGGAAGCATGTTACGATAGAAGGTCATGATAAACGGCAAAATGCATATCTCCAGATGTGTACTGAATCTCTCTCTGTCTCTGTGTCTTTCCCTCTCTCTCTGTCTGTCTCTGTCTGTCTCTGTCTGTCTGTCTCTGTCTGTCTGTGTCTGTCTGTGTCTGTCTGTCTGTCTGTCTGTCTGTCTGTCTGTCTGTCTGTCTGTCTGTCTCTCGATCTCTGTCTCTGTCTGCCTCTCGGTCTCGGTCTCTGTCTCTGTCTCTGTCTCTGTCTCTCTGTCTCCCTCCCTCCCTGCATCCATCCCTCCGTCTGTCTCTGTCTCTGTTCTCTGTCTCTCTCTCTGTCTGTCTCTCTCTCTGTCTCTCTCTCAGCTCCTTGCCGCTCTCATTGCTGGGGTTCCTCGCCATGGCGCTAGTTTACAGCCCCATCGCCTCCTCATCAACCTCATCAAGCTTGGTAGCGTCGAGGTTACACTGACCTGTGCCTTCGGCAGCAACAACGACTCCTTTAGCCTTGAGTGTCCGTTAGCTCCTCCCTCCCTCCCTCCCTCCCTTCCTCCCTGTCTCCCTTGCCCATCCTCCCACCTCTCCTTGCTTGGCATAGGCTATGAGAGATGTCTGCTTCCTGGGCAACCTCAGCACCTGCACAATCAGCATGGCGACGGCGGACGAGTAGACGGCATGACCGAAGACGGAAATGCAACCGAGGAAGAGGCTCTCGTTGCCAGCCTTCCTACTCTCAACGGTCACAAGCAGGGAGTGGAGAGAGGAGGAGGAAGGAGGAAGGCTGGGAGGGGTGGAGGAGAGGATGGGAGGGCGAGGAAGGGGGTTGAAGGAGATGGGGAAAAGAAGGAGATGGAGAGGTCTCTTACCTCCTCCGTTCCATTTCTGCTTCAACTCCCTGCGCAAGCTCTACTATCACTCTCTCCGCGTATGCTCGAAGCGTCTGTGTGCCATGTCAGCAGCTGATCCTTCTCCTCCTGCACCAACTTTGCCATGCCCTGCAGCGATGTAGTCTGCCAGGGACGCGTATCCTGAACAGCAGAAGAAAGAGAGAAAGGGAGGAAGAAGAGATGAGGAGAGTCGGGACGGAGCATGATGAAGAGGAAGATGATGATGATGATGATGATGATGATGATGATGATGATGATGATGATGATGATGATGATGATGATGATGATGATGATGATGATGATGATGATGATGATGAGGAGGAGGAGGAGGAGGAAACCAGACACAGAACATGTGAGTTGCTGATAGAGCGTTGCTGTGCTCTTTTCTTTTTCAGCAAAGGCCTTTCTCACCTCCTCCTCCATAGTGCCATCGTAGATTCCAGCCAACACCGTCTACCCCTCAGTCAGCCAATGCACCTCCACGAGGAGATCAGAGGAGGAGGCGGGGAAGGAGAAGGAGGAGAGGGAAGATGAGAAGAGAAAGAAGACGGGGAAGAAGGCGGGGAAGAAGGAGGCGAACAATGAACGATCGGAAGGGAAGGGCCTGAGAGAATGATTGAGTGGAAAAAGAATGTTGAAACTTGGAGTTGATGATCAACAAGAAGAAACATCAGCATGGAAAGGAAGGGGACAGGATGAGGAGGAGAAGGAGGAGAAAGAGGAGAAGGAGGAGGAGGAGAGGGAGGAGGAGGAAGGGAGGGGGGGAGGAGGGGCGTACAGGCTTCGGAGCTCCCATGAGCCATGCTGTCTCCAGTCAGCGGCCTGTCCTTCCCTCATCATCCTCTACCTCACTGCAGGTCCTCGGTCACCTGCAGACGAGGAGAAGGAGATGCCGTGCGGAGCACGGGAGGCTGCGCAGAGGGTTGAGAACCACCTCCTACTTCCTTGTCAGCGCTCCCATCCCACGACATGAAGCAGAGAAAGAGATAGGGTGTGATTTGGACGAGGAGAAGGAGGAGGAGGAGGAGGAGGAGGGAAGAGTTAGGAGAGGAAAGAGAAAAGATTGGACACGAATCGAGGATGGGAAGGAGACGAGGAGATGAAAGAGGGGGGTGGGGAGGTGGGGGCGGGAAGGAGGAGATGGAACGATGTAACAATACCTCGAGGAGGAAGCCTTGATCCTGCCCTCCGCCGTCAGGATGCGAGCTAGATCTTCCTCTGGTGAATTCCCTTGCGGTTGGTCGGTCTGCAGAGCATGATGGGTCAAGGAGAGGAGAAAGGAAGAAGAGGATGGAAGGAGGAAGAGGAGCGAGGAGAAATGGGAGAGAGGAGGGAAAGGAGGAGACGGTAGTTCCGAGCAGCAGCAGCTGCTGCTGCAGCTGCACGCTAGGAGAATATAGTGAAAAGAAGAGAGAAAAGGAGGAGGAGGAGGAGGAGGTGGTGGTGGTGGTGGTGGAAGAGGA